AGTGGTAGTGTGGGCGGGACAAGACATACAAAACCGCACAGCTGCTGGAGCCCCTGTAGACCACATGCAATTGCGAGGGCGCGGCGATGCTTCCCTTCACTGAACAAGAGCTTCCACCCTGCCAGGAATGATCTGTCACCTGGGCGGGAATTCTGGGCGAGATCCTCTTCACGGGCCTCGAGCTCAATCTCCCTCATAACCTCATCAATGTCGAAAGAGTGCGACGAGCCATTGACTTTCTGAATGACATGCCTCGCGTCGTTCATCCTCCCCTCCTTGATCAGCCATCTGGGGGTTTCGGGCATGAACAAGACTACGGCAAACTGGATGGCGGCAGGGAGGCCACCCAGGCCGACCATCCACCTCCATGCTGTCGCTTTGGAGCCGAAAGCCGAGAACAGCCAGCCTACCACATAGGCAACTACTTGCCCACCTGTGATGAAGACAGAATTCAGCGTCACAAGCCTTCCGCGGTGCGAGGCAGGTGCCAATTCGGCGATGTACAATGGAACGACGAAACTTGCAGCCCCTACTGCGGATCCGACAATGCAGCGCCCGATCGTCATGACGAGAACAGAGTTGGACATGGCCTGGATGAGGGCGCCTCCAAGGAAGAGAATATCCGCGTATATCATCACTCGTTTGCGGCCCAGCTTGTCGGCGAGAACGGAAGAGAACGGAGATATGAGCAGGGCGAAGAGAGACGTCGAGGATGTGATGATCGACTTGTCGAGGGACGTCAGGCTGCGGTTCGAGAGCGATGTACCGATGGAAACGAGCGTCGCGGAAATCACACCGGTGTCATCTGGCGACAAACGTTAGTACTCGGATGCAGAGGAATTCGGATAATCAAGTAGACGTACACCCAAAGAGGAGCCCGCTGATGCCGGCTGCGAATGTGAGAGCAAGCACGAAGAGCCCCGGCCGGTCACTCTTTGGCTGTGCAATGCCGATCTCGCTCGAGAGATCCTCATCCTCGAACTCAGCCTCGCTGTCTCGGCGATTGTTGGATATCAGAGGCGCCTGGGAATTGTCCATCCTGAGGCTTGGGCGATAACTCGCATCCTATTCTGAATTCATGTTGTCAGATCAAGGTCAAGTATGTAGGTCGCGTGTCCATGTTCACTTGTATGCTAATCTGTCTCCGACTTACTAAGCTATCTCGGGACCCCATGCTAGCCTCTATTTTGAGACCGTCCCGAGACATATCCGCCTGACCCAGTTCGAGGCTGTGGAGCTGCATCACATAAATAGCATAGCGAAGACAATCGGTATAAATTTGAATATTTTATTGTGTGAGGATGTTCACCATATGATCTGATTTACAGAGTTCTTGTTGCTGTTAAAAACAATATGTAAAAAGACAGTTGTGAACATTCTCGAAAAAAAAAGAAACATAACCCACTTATCAAACAAGTTTCATAAGGAGTTAATGATGAGACTGGGACTCGAACCCAGGAGGATTGCTCCACCAGGAATGAATGCTAAGGTAGCCTTAACCTGACGCCATAACCAACTCGGCCATCTCACCGAATGTGATGTCACGATGCCCCATTGCAGTCACATAAGCATAACGGCGGGGAGTGAACGGGGCAGACCCTTTGCCAGAACCATGAAGATCTAAACTCTGGAGACCAGAAAGAAACGCCGGTGCGCCATATGTGAAACGCCTGTCAGCCCCTATTTGACAAGATGTCTGAAGAAGAAATATGAAGAAAGGCCCATGAGGCTGAGTGGATGGAAGATGGCAGGTAGATGGTAGTTGATATGCCTACTCAATGCCCGGGCTATCACTGATCTCGGAGCACCGGGCGTGAACAGCCAATCCTTGCAGAGGTTGTCGGAAAGTTGCTGTACTTTCTTGGCCCGGACGAACATGTTGCTCTCAAATTGGCGGACCTCTTCGTCGAGCGTGTTTGGGCCGTTGGCAGCGTTGACGATTGCCTTTGCCAGCAGCATCGCGTCCTCCAGAGCGAGGTTGACACCCTCGCCCGCGTAAGGTGTCATGAGATGTGCTGCATCCCCTATCAGTGTCAACCCGTCAACATGCTCCCAGTGCGTTCCGATCGGGAGAATGTGATGAGATCGTGGTACGCAGGGCCCCTCGGCACTGCTTATCGCATCTTTGAGCTCAGGGCACCATCCACTAAAGTCTTTTTGCAGAAGCTCCTTCTTGACTTGGTCGAGATTTGTCGAGTCTATCCCGCACTTTTCTTCCTTCATCCAGTCTGGGTCATCTCGACGGAAGGTGACGTGGACATCCAGACTTCCATCACCCATCTGCTGGACCGTAAGTCGCTGTCCTTCACTGTGCGCAAAGAGGCTACCTCGATTTACTAGTTTGCATGTTTCGGGTGCAGTCTCCTCGGCGTCGGGGATGGTGAGATGGTACATGCCGACACCAACGTATTGAGGTTGTAAATTGGGATCCACGGCCTGCCGGGTCTTACTCCAGGCTCCATCAGCACCAACAATCAGATCGAATCCCGTCTCTGTTGCATCCTCAAAGACGAGCGCCTTGCCTTCCACCTTCTTCAACCGGCGTCCCCAACGGATCATTCCCTCAGGAACCGATTCGGTCAGTATCTGACGGAGCCTGGACCGGTCAATCTCGGGACTCTCGCCCGCAATCTCTTTCCCATTGCCCGGATGGCGCACAAATAAGTGGTCCAGGTCCTTGTCGACGATTGCCAGATACTGCCCGTCATAGCGAGCATACTTTAGAAATTCATCCCAGAGCTGGGCAGCTTTCATGGCAGCCAGGCCAGTATCGGTGTGGAGATCAAGGGTCCCGCCCTGACTCCGATAGTTGGGAGCCGTTTCCCCCTCAAAGACGGTAACATCGATCCCTTCCAAGTGCAGGAGTCTAGCCAGCATGCATCCTATGCGGTGGGTTTGGGGTCAGTATGAAATGCGCATGCATGAAGGAAGAGACACGGAAGAGAGGAGGGTGGCTTGCCTGCTGGTCCGCCTCCAACCACTGCAACCTTGAGATTGCTTTTGGACATCACGATGCGAGCTACAAATAGAAACTTGGCAGGATGGTGGCATTCAGAGAGTCAGCATACACTGGATGCAGTGATCAGCCGAAAGAAAGCTGAGCATGAGGGTGGGAGAGGAAGGAATGTCGTTGAAATACGATCGGCCCTTCCCACATGCTTGGGCTCCTACGTGCCTTATGACAATGGCTAAGCAGGGTGGGATCCGATCTATGCTAAAATGCTTACTGGTAATACGTACTCGCATTCCGAAAGACCCGGCTTGTGGCTAGGTATCATAGCTCCCTGGGCTCGGGCCCAGTTAGAGTTCAATGGGCAAGAATGGAGGTCATGTTCCATGAGGCTGAAAAGCCACGCGTCGACCGATTCCCGCCGATGGTGGTCTGCAAGCATCGGGTTATGTTGGCAAATCTCTGGGCTGTTAACAACTGAAGGGAGGGACGCCTAAGTGGCTGCGCTATTGGCACAGCTGCCATTTAAACTCAGCCTTATCTGATGGGAGGCTGCTTAGCCTATAATTGCTCCTGGGTGGGCACATATAGACTCAGCTGCCATTGAATATTTATAGACGGATCTGTCCAGTCAGAGTCAGCCAGACTTGCAATGGCTCGTATAGTGCGCTTGTGGCGGTGGGTTCTTTTGCATGACAGCAAATCAGGGACAGGCAATACGAGCCAACTCAGAGTCTCAGTTGCTGTATCACATGTGCACTGGACAACTGGTCGATGGCTTGTGACGTGAGAAGACGGCAAAGGCCGGGTCCAGCGTCAATGCTGCTCCTGTCTAGAGTCGTAGGACAGCCTGCTTGGGGAAAGTCTGGCATAAGCGTGACTGCTCCTGTCTCAGAAGATGCATCAAGAAGACATAGCGGACAAAGCAAGCCAGATGGGCAATGTGGAGGATCCAACGTCGACCGGACTCACGGGTGGGCGGACTCGACCCTTGTGTCTTGGAGCACCAGTCAGGGGAGGTTGGAGGTTATTTGGTCGCATAAAGCAAATAAAAAATACCCATCCCCTATCCCAGTGCATCAATCCTTCCGTTGTACCATGTCGGTGGTGACGGTGTGGTGGTGGGAGCAGTGTCAGCATTTGGGGCGCTGAGGGCGCTGTAAATAGGGACATTCCAGGCACCTGCAGATGGATGATAGTGGATGATAGTGGATGGATCCTTGCCCCATAATCCAAGTGGGTGGACCCGACTATCTAAACCGATTGTGACTGTCGCTGCCCAATGACCTTCCGCTTCAGCCACCTGTGGCTCCTCTCTGCAACCAGCCAGTCGAAATGTTGCGATCGGTCGTCTGAGTGGCACCTCTCATCCAACCTCAACGCCGGCCTCGTCACCCATCATCCATCCAGCCAGCTACACACACCTTCATTCCGGCGTTTGTTCTCTGCACTTTGTTTGCGCTCCTTGTTGGCCGTGATATTCGACGCCGCTCATTCTACCAGTTGGATGTTTAGACCATGCCTGTCCTTTGACTGTAGCAGCTGAACACGGGAAGCCGACTAATTTCTAATTGCGACTTGACTCCTTTCTGCCACTTAGCCCGACCGCGACCCAGCTCGACTTCGCATACGCCTGCCCGTCGGGCTGCCGACTCAACAGAGACAAATTATTCTTATTATTATCACAATCTGAGGCGCTTCGTCTCGTGTCTTGGCCGCGATGCAGCCTCAAACCGTGGTGCGCGGATTCCAGCGCCGATCCCCCGGCGCTGAGCCTGGCCCGCCACCCAATATACCCGTTCGTTCTATCTCGCCAAACATTCAAGGAGGGAGGATCTCTAGGTCAGGACAATCGGGTAGCGCAAAGCGGGTGAACAGAGAGGTGCGTTCAGTCACATGGCTTGGGTTTGGCTGAGGCCCGTGGGCGATAGTTCCCAGCCTCAGCCGCTCGTGGGGAACCCCGTGCTCCCCCCTCAAGCCTTCATCGCATTTGGCGTAGGATGGCTTTCTGACTTTTCTCTATACTTAGGGCTCTGGAAGCGGATCGAACATGCCGTTATCGCAAATAGAGAAGAGCGTCACCCACCTGCTAGTTGCTACGAAACAGCTTCTCGAAACCCTGACGCAGTGGTCTCGCGGGCAAGCAACTGATAGCGAAGTCTCCGATGTTTACGTACGATTGGGATATGAATTTAATATGGCATGCCGTGCCTTCACGGCCATTAATGTCGATGTTTCCGACTTGGGAAACGTCCCGGACCTCCTCCGCCACATACTCGAGACGACACTAAGCCAGGAAGCAAGCTCCGAGAACCTGGAGAAATATCTGCCTAGGATACGAGACATCATCATCAACTTACTACACGGACTCAAGCGAAAACAACACAAACTTCGACAGAAGCAGATGAGAGATCGTGAGAGTACTGGTTCCGCCGCTATCCCCGAGAGAACCACGAGCGTCAGCACCGTGGCAAGTGGCGCAAGTGGATTGACCAACTTGCTCGAGGAGGGAATAGAAAATGGATACAAGCCGGAGCCTCGGAGCGAATCTATGCCTCCCATCCGCAACACGTCGCCTGCACGTCGATTCAACTCTGTGCGAGATCCGTCTCAGGAAACAGTAGCTTCGGAGCAGTCGTCGTTGTCGAGCAACACAATGCAAAACATCCCGGTGTTGCCCCCATATCCTACGGATTCATCAACAATCCCAACGTTTCCAGTCAAGAACGATGTCAATGTCGACTCATTTCCGCCGCCGCCGCCCACCCCTCCGGATAATACATCTAGTGCTCTGGCAGCGCTGCAAAAGGGAGGAGATCTTGAGCGACGTGCATCCCGACGATATTCCCAGTATCAAATATCAAAACACTTGGGAGGGTCGACTGGGGTGCCAATGCTCCCATCGCAGAATGGCCCCGTCCCCAATCGAGGCCAGAGAGAAGCTGCCAGGGAGTCCTTACGTGCAGTTCAATCCAGACACTCGATTCGCCATAGTCGCAATCCATCAGCGCAGCCAAGAAATGGGATTGCGCAAGAAGTCTCTCCCGTTAGAGTTCCCAACCAAGTGTCAGAGGAGCAATCCCCCCAGCTTCCTCCACCAGCCGAGAGTCCGGCGCCGGCTGAGAGCCCCCAAGACAAGCATATGTCGACCGCCACCTTGTCAGGCCCATTAGCCGACCCACCCTACTTCGAACCTGATACCCCTGAGGAAGCAAAAGTCGAACCGGAAATACCCAAGAAGAAGGAGGAGACAATCCAGACCCCACAACGAGAAACAAAGCCGAGCGAGTCCTATTTCCAGGTCTCCCCCCCGCCGACGCCTACTCGTGAACTGACCCTCTTCCTTCAGTACAAGTCCAAAGTAAAGAAGTTCGTCTTGCCAGAAGGCCGCGAAGAACTCTCCCTTGGTCGCCTGCAACTCGCATTCATTGAGAAGTTTTCATGGAGCACGCAACAGAATGGAGCAGACTTGCCTGAAATCTACATCCAGGACCCCGTATCTGGCGTGCGGCATGAGCTGGAAGACTTGGCAGATATCAAGGATCGCACAGTTCTTGTTCTGAACGTCGAACAGTTGGACGAGGTTAAACGACACTTTGACGATGGGATCTCAGCGTTGACAAAAATTGTTCGTGAAGTTAAGCAAAACGTGGATGACCAAGGAACTGCACTCCAACGAGTTTCCGACATCCAGCAAGAAACGTCCAAGGAGTTGGCGAGAATGGCATCCGCCCCACCCGTTGTCTCCAGTGGTCTCGACGGCATGCGGTCGCCTCTGGGCTTGGGCAAGAGACTCCCTGCTGGCCAACAAGGCGAATTGCAGAGCCTCCGCCGGGATCTCGCTGTTATCCGCCAAACTTATGCCAATTTCCAATCAGAGGTCCAGACCTCCATGTCGGCGCTTCGACAGAAGGCTGCGAATGTCAAGGAAGTGGCCGCTAAAGCCGTTATTCCCGACATGGAAGGCGATGCTGGATACTCATACGTCGCAAGTGGCCGGAAGCAACTCAACTCCGACTCGGACCGCCTGGTTGGCAAGGTCGATGACCTCCAGGACTTGATCGAAGATCTACGGAAGGATGTTGTGCACCGCGGCGTGCGACCACTGCCCAGGCAGCTGGAGGGCGTCTCCAAGGAAATCGGCGGCCTGACCAAGGAGCTCAAGAAGATGGAGGACTACATGATCCAAGAGAAGCCCATCTGGACTAAGATCTGGGAGAAGGAGCTCGAGGACGTCTGCCAGGGCCGGGACGAGCTCCGCCTTATGGAGGACCTGCTGGTGGATCTGCGCGACGATCTCGAGAAGGCCTCCGAGACATTTGTGCTCGTCGAGCAGGCGACCAAGGAGCAGATGAAGGACAACGGCACCAACGCCAGCGCCGGCTCGGCGCGCCAGTTCTCCAGGGGTCTCAACAGCCTCGGCAACAGCCTGGACCAGAACGCCGCGAAGGAGGGCGTCCTCGGCGAGGTGCGCGCCCTCCAGCCCAACCACGAGGACAGGCTCGAGGCCATCGAGCGCGCCGAGAAGCTCCGCCAGAAGGAGCTGGCGAGCCGGAAGGGCAACCCGCTCCACCGTGAAATTAAGGAATTCGTGAAGGAGGGCAAGCTGAAGAAGTCGGGCGGCTTTGAAGAGGTGGAAAGACAGAGGGTACTCAAGGACGAGAGGATACGCCGCGAGGTATGGGAGGCCCAGAACGGCTACATCCCCGAGGAAGGGGAAGAGTACGAGGAGTACGAGGAGTATGAAGAGGAGGAAGACGGGGCACAGCAGGCAGAAGGAGGAGGCGAAGAGGCACCGGCGGCTGGTACGCCCGACGGGACGGCAGCGCAGGAAGCGAAATAGGAACTGGCGGGTAACGGTTGTTTATTTTTTGTTTTGACATGATATATTACCCCTGGTTAAGACATGCTTGTATGTATATGAGAACGGACACACTGATTATACATGGCCCTTGGCTCCATCGTGGGGGGCGCACATATTCGTTTTTACAAAGCGCGGGGGGGACAGGAAACTTAGCTAGGTTATTGCTTGGAATGGGAAACACTTTATATATTCGGCCCCCTGACTGTCAGGGGGGGAAGATATATTTAGGCTTATTTTTTTTTTTAAGACTTGATCTAAATATGCGAGCAAACTACTTAATATTGTGACCAAGCTTTACGCTCCAAGTAGCGATAACTTCTTCATGGCCGTCACGAGAGGCGGCTGTTGTAACTTGGCCTGGCTCTGCACAAACTCCTGCAGGACGGCCGCTCCGCCCGTAGCCTTCCAGTCGCCGCCGGAGAATCCACCACTCCCTTCTCCCTGCTGCTCGGGTGTCTCCTGCTGCTCGCCGCCGGAACCAGGGGGTGGCTTGGGGAACACCTCGTCCACGGACCGCTCGCACGCCGCGATCACGTCCGACAGGAGCGCCTCGGCGGCGCGGGCGCGCTCCGCCATCCCTCTCCGGACGAGGGCGAAGACGAGGCGTTCGACCTCGGGCTTGGCGGCCATGACGCGCTCGACCAGCCGCCTGACGCTGTTAACGAGGTACTCCTCCTCGTAGACGGTGCCTTTGCGGCCGCGGGCGCGCTTCTTCTCCTCCCGACGGCGGTTCTTGCTCGTCGCGCGGCTGACGCCCGTACCCGCGGTGCCTACGCTCCCGGTCTTACCGGTGTACCGCGTGAACAGGCTGGCGCTTGTGCTCACGCGGGAGCTCGCGGCGATGGAGACGTCGTCGGGGATGTCTGCGCCGCCGGCGCGCTCGCCCTCGTAGAAGGCCAAGGGGTCCTCGGCGGCCTTGCGGCGCAGCTCGGCGATGCGGGGCACCTGGGCGTTGAGCTGGGCCTTGCAGTCGGCGAGGAACTCGGTGGTGCTGCCGAGGGCTTCGGCGATGCCAGTGTCGACGGCGGTGGTGAGGAGCTCCGGGCGGGACTTTTGAAGGACGAGGCGGATGGCCTCAGCGAAGTGGTACCCCTTGCAGAGGCACCGGATGGCCTGCTCCAGCGAGGAGAGGTAGTCTAGATGGATGCTGGCTGCGGCGGCGTAATTCTTGTCCTCCCAGAGGGCGTCGGCTAGGGCGGTAGCGGTCTCGGCCAGGGCGTCCTCAGACATGGGTGGTGTCTGCAGCTGCGCGCTGACCAGGCACTCCTGCCAGCATGTTGCGCCGGCCGCGCGGTAGCAGCTCGTGGCTTTTGCGTAGTTCTGGAGGGACTCGTAAGCGAGGCCGGCTTCTCTGAAAGCGGATGTGGATTCGAGGTGGGCGGCGTAGAGGGCGGTGATTTGGTTCAGACGATCTTGGTCGTAGCGGTAGAGCTTAAGGGCATCTTGGTACAGGATGTGTTTGACTGTGTAATTGCTTAGTTCTTCAAAGACATCCAGGGCGTGGAGGTGGCCGAGTGCCTTTGTACGGCGGGAGAGGTGGTCATCGATGATAAATTTGCGGCGCAAGTCGGATTGTTTATGGAGATCCTGGATAAATGGAAGATACTCTCTTGGGTCACGCTGTGATTGTTGCGCGACCAGAAGTGCAAGCTCGAGATTATAGAGACCTAGGGCGTTATCATAAACGCGGTTGACGTCGACAATGAAGCACACGTGTTCGACGGCGCGCTCGGCAAGCTTCTCGCTCTTTTCCATCAGCCCAGCCACCAAACGCAGAGCATCTTCCAGGGCGGGAGGGTCTTTGCAGACGTGGGCGGTAATGGTGTTCTGGAGGCTGCTGGTTGAGGTTTGGGTTTGAAGACTCTTGAGGATAGCGTCACAGATTGTGTTAACCTTCGACGTCGTTGCTGCTGGCTCGGAAGAGGGTTGGGGCTCGGGGTTCAAGAATGTTCTCTCCTGAATCTTGCCACGTTTGGTGTCGGGATACATTGTTTCCGTAACGTCTTCCTGGCTGCAAGACGGTGTTAGTCTTGGATTTGTCTAGGTGATATAACTTTTTATACTTACCGAAGTGAGGATAAGAAGAGGTCAATGTACGAGGCCTCCATAAATTGATATAAGATCAAGTCCACATTGGCAAGAAACTGTTCAGGTTTATGATCATATAGAATATTCATGTCCACTCGCTGCATACGACAGTATGAAAATGCACTCCTGTAATCGAGCCGATCGATAAGATTGCGAATACCAGCAATAACCATAGCACGAGGGTAAATGGTTTCCAGGTTACCTCTGGGCATCTGAAGAACGATGCTCATGGTAGTGGGCATGGCTGTGACAAGTCGGGAGCCGCGTTCTACGTTGCGACACCGCTCATCCTTTTCAGGATCATCTCCACAAACTTCTAGTTCTATAAAGTCGTTAACAACATGCGGCCAACTTGAGTCAGCTCCGGGAAATACTAACCCTCCACATCTTCAGCCAAGTGAACATATTTGACTAAATGGTTGTTGGTAGTAAAGATAAGGTGATCGGGTGTGACAACAAAAGAGGTACAGTTCTTGGCTAATAGGCGTGAATTCGCGTAGAGATGGCCACCTCTTGATAAGCCAAATGCAATAATGGAGTCGCTAACCTTGGCCACTTCGAACCAAGGTAGCTGGGTTTGGAACTGGGCAGGTAGGAGCTCGCTTCCGGTCGATAGAAGACGGTGAATCTTTCCTGTGCGGTCCTGGCCATATCCTTCGATAGAGTTATCGTCCTCGTAAGTCGTTGTGCTCACAAATAGTTGATCTTCATTGAGGAAATCGAGGTGTGTATCCTCAGCATCGGCCTTGACACTGAGCTGCAAATTCCCTAGATCATCCTGGTAGCTCATCAGTTTGAACCATCCCTCCGAGGTGCAGCAAATGCGCAGGCCGACATTGTCTTCTGGGATGTTTGCTGGACCAAATGGAACCCTAACTTTAAGTTGCGGTGTGAGAGATACTCCGTCCACTGCGAGCCAGTCGTAAACATCTACACCTTTTCGATGTAAGATGGCCAAACTCTCGTTTCTTCGCCCAAATGCCACATCCACTGCAGCAGACTCAACCGTCAATTCATAGCGACACATAGGGGGCGGTATATTCGCTCCTCTAAGAGCTGTCAACTTAATGGTCTCACCATCAATGACTGCAACAACTCCCATATCATTTGGTGGACAGCACGAGCCTCGGGCCGTATAAAATATCTTTTCAACGATACTCAAATTCTCAGCAGTGACAATAGCGAAACGCAGAGCTTTCTCTGAATGCCAAACTACAGAGGCACCAGATGGCTCCGTGGGAATTTCCTGCTTCAGATACCAGTGATAATTCCCCGTAGTCCAGAGCTGGACTAAGCCGTCTAACATCGCAGCCAGCGCAGTTGAGTCTGAGTTCCACTCCAGGCGGATGGCTGAGCTGGATACCACTGGCTTTTCGGGAGAGCGGAGGCGAAACTGGCCATGGCGAAGGCCATTCCTCTCAAAGAAAACAACGTCGATACGGTCATCAAACCGCTGGATACCTGCGATGAGATTCCCAGACGGCCTCCAGCTCAGAGTGCTCTCCAACCCATCCACTGGCTCACTGGCGCTGTCGAGCTCGCCCTCGCGAGAATAAACCCTGATTACTCGACGCTTGCTGTCCTCACTTTCTTGGATTGCGTTGATGGCAACAAAGGCTCCGTCGCCCCTCCAGCTGATGTTGATGGCACCATCGTCATTCGGGCTTAAAATTCCACTGTCGACCTTTTCGGGGATCGTAGGGTCGCGCATCGCTTTGGCTCCTCGGCCCTGGAACTGTGTTTCTCTTTTACCCCATCCAACCGATACGTGCCTTGAAGCTTTGAGATCCTCGACGGTCATGGCAACTTCAGCGACCGGGTCAAAAGTCGAGCCCATGAAAAGTAGAGCGTTGGCCTTGGTGACGATGGCCAATAACTCCTCATCCGGAGACCATTTTGCGGCTGCGATGCCGGCATCGATGGAGCCTACAATTTCGATAACGGGGCCATTTGAAGAGAACTGATCTTCCTGGACCGTAATGATGTCGCCGCCTTCTAGAACGAGGCACGTAGTTGCTGTCCCACTCAGATACTGGAGGCTGATCACCCTGTCGACCAGCAGGTCTGGGTTTGGGCTCGGCGCCTCCCAGCTTGCAACGGTCTGGTGAGAACTTTGGGTCGGTCGTTAGCACATATGTCATAGGTCATCAAAAAGCGAAAGCTAACAAAGGATCTAAACTGATTTTCGTACACATCTTGTTTCTTGTCTGAGACTCTCAGGAGCTCAATAGTCGAGCTGTGCTGTGTAGGCCCAACGGTACAAAGGAGCTCGTCCTTCTCCGGATCCCAGCAAGCCGACGTGATGTCGGGATGCCTCCAGCGGCCAAACTGAAGATTGCGAAGGTTGCGCATCGTTGGTTGGCTGGCTGCGAGTTTGAGAAAAGACAAGGTAGATCCAGGTGACAAGGGTGTTTTCTTCTCCCAGATGCCCCGTCGGGTTATTCTCCCACAGGCGCCGTTGCCCGCTCAGTCATATGCTGGATGGAATGGATTCCCGCTTTGGTAGTTCCAGGATGGCTGTGGCATGTGCAACCAGTGGCCTGACCGGTGAGTCTTTCTCGTCTCTCAGCCGGAGTGATGTTGGGTTACATGGAGCCTAAGGATTTTTTCTTTTTTCTCTGGGCGGGCAGGAGCGTGGAGATACTTGAGGGTCAGGCTTCAATGAAGTAACTTTTGCGGGACAATGCACGATAAGCCCGTAGAAGGCCAAGCTGGGGGAACCTTGAGCCTGCCTGGGGCCAAGTACCCTAAAAACCCGACGCACACGGTTCAGTCGTCGGCCAACGCCACCACTAAGAGGCAGTGGATAGAGGGGCTAGAGGTTGCAACCACAGCGGGTGCTGAAGGAGTTTAGTGCCAGTGCCGCTGTAAAGCTCACTGAACACCAAATT